ATAAGGCCGATGGAAGACGATCCAGTTCAGAAATGGAACTCCAAGATCGAAGAAACAAGTGGTACAAATGATTCTCCTAGTGGAATGTCAACACAGCTGTCCCAGGGTGGTCATAGTCCCAACGAGGACACAGATGATCTGTATGACACTCAAGACAGTACAGAAAGTGATAGTGAACCAGAGCCAGACCCAAACATTCACGGGGTGGATACTGGAGTGTTTCGACTCCGTGGTGGTGCAGACAAAGATTCCGATTTTGAACCATGGTACAGTCCAAACCATAGGTTTACCATCTATCTTGAAACATTGTCGGATGTCAAATGTCAAGTACCTATTCGTTGTACTGCAAAGGTATAAACATGCTTACCATTCTCACTCCTAAACTCATCTCTTCTTTTTTTAGTTCACAGTCCAACATGCAGACAACCACGACAAGCCCTTCTGTCCTCGAACCATCTGCAAAGTAAACTTCAGGGTTGACCCAACCAACAAAGATGTGTGGCCAGACCGGTCTCATAGCAAAATTGTTTTCGTTGACACAAAACCCATTTATTCTTGCATTCCGTGAGTGTGATTAAATTTTGAACAAGCAGGCAACTTACACCTCAAACTGTAGACTACCTTGTGAAGCTCATATTCCGCCAAAACAAACAGTCAAGACTGTAAACACTATAACGAGATCGGGGACAGCTGCTTTAGGCTTCAATCCGGTCTCTCACGCAGGTGGAATGTTAGGGCTTTCGGGGACTTATGGCATTACTCAGGCTACCGAGAGCCTGAATGACCGAGTATGTATATTATTTGAGCTAAGCATGACACTGTATTTACCAATGTACAGCCAACCCCTCCATGGATTGTTGATTATCAGAATGGCCGCTATGGGCAGTTTCAAGGCCGACACTTCTGGGAGTATGGTGTGGCATATACTGCTACAGACCGGAGGCAGCATCAAATGCAAATAGAATTTTCCGTAGCAATGGATCCAGAGGAGGTGAGCTTCCTATGTTTTCTTGGAAGCATATGATATACTAAACAACCTAGATGCCAGATGATGATGATACAACTTCATTTGTCATGCAACATCAAACAATGTTGTGGATGCGGCATGAAGCTTTGAGGAGCCAAGGATATGGCATGACTATCATGAGCTTGGTATGTTATATTCACACAAGAAATTGAAACAAACCTAATCCATGCTGCCAAGTCCCACATTTCAAATGTCAGAACTGAGACCCGAATCTCTCTTCGGAAAGAATCAACCATTACACTTGCTGGTACTGCCTTGAAAAGTATGTCATACTTACGGGGCTGTTAAGAGCACTAATTGGATCACAAGGCCCCACGGGGACAAGCAAAAACCAAAACAGTCTGATGGAAGTGTCAACAAAACATGCCCTTGCTTTCGAGAAGCCTGGGTTCCTTCAGCGCCTAGGATTAAAATCAGAAAACCCTGAAGCTCAGATGGAAACTTCACCGAGCTTTCTGATCAGACAGGTGCCTCTTAACGACATAAATGCACTGGGATACACTCCTATGACCAAGAAATGGATTATGGCCGGCTTTGCGCCATGGCAAGATGTCTTGAAAGCTTTCATTGAACCCGCAAACAACACTCCGGCCTTGGAGATCAAAGACAATTCGAAAGGAAAGCAACGGGCTCGTGGTAAGTCTGTTATTTGTAAAGAAAAACCCTACGGACTCGATGACAAGTGATTAGCAGAAGACACCCTGGAGCGTGAAGGAGTTCCCACGAAATCAGTTACGAAAAAGGTTTAAGACATATGTGGCAAAGAAATTGGATTTATTGTGGGTTCACACAAGGCACACGCGGTTGAATCTAGTTGTCTTTCACCTTTGCTCAGTACAAACTCTGTTGATGTTGTCCGGAATTTTGTAGTCCTACTTGCTCTGTATCTCATGTATTCAACTCGAGCTAAAACCCAATTGCCGATTCACAGTGAGCAGCGCGAACAGCATTTTGCGCAATACATTATTTCCCACTGATTGAGGAGAGTAAAAAGTTGGTCAGATACTCATCTCTTCAATTGTGCACTGAAGTGCAGAGAATTAGCACCGAGTGAAGGCGGCGAGTGGAGTTCTGTGGGTGAAAGAGCGGGTGTAATTCCAATCCACTGGTCATAGACTACTATTAGCAAGACGAGCGTGAAGAACAAACCAAAAGAAAAGATATTCAAGAGGAGTCGAACCGGAGATCTGCATGAGACGTCGAAACCGCACACTGACACATTCATTGCAAGTGCGGGCCAACCGCTATCGAGCCTCTCCAGCTAGAATTTGGACCCCTGCTGCGACTTGGTGCGTAGGCTGCTGGGTGAATCTTGATCAACTCCCGTGTGGCGTACTGGAAGTAAGGGAAGGGTGGGATACTGCTGAGGCAGACCATTCCTTTTCTTGGTAGAGAGACGCGTCGATTGAAACGCGTCGACGCCTCGACGCGTTTTGAGACGCGACGCTACGATCGACGATCACTGATGCGATGCTCAAATCTTGAGATCTTGACAGTACACGCTTACGCAGTGAAACAATCTCTGGGAGATTGCCGATGTGGAAGGTGCTGAAAGAGATTCAAAGAGTAAGTAAGCTTGAGCAAAAGTTGAACATCGAAAAGTGCGAAAGGGATCGGGTGTTCGGGGTGATTGGGAAGTGTTGCCGTTGGGAACGGCTTGGGAGCGGGGTGGAATGTGCTAGGATGTGCGAGGATGTGCTGGGATGCTGGGATCGGCTAGGAATCTAGGACTTGTTGGGATGTGATGGGACGGACTCATCACAAATTTCTACTACTCTCCAGTGTACGAGGCAAAGCAATCCGGCAGCCGGAAACATTGCCAGGCTGGGTGGGCCGTGTTGTGGGTGGATAACTCGGAGTTCGGAGAAAAAAGCTAGAAGAAATGTCCAAGGCTCGACCCCGAGTCGAACGGGAGACCTGTTTGAAGGTCTGAATCAGCCCACCAAGTGTAGGTGCCCATCGGACATCGGCCCTTGTCAACTCAAATTCGGGAGCGAATGACTGGGTGCTCGTTGTAGCTTTCACACAGTCCTTCGTTATTTATCGTTGTGTAGTTACCGAGGCACTGTTCGCTTATTTTGAACCGTGGGAAATTACCAAGCCACAAGTTTGGACTTTTGAGTTTGTTAGGTTTTTCCCCCTATGAATGTTGATGGATCGGCGATGAGCGATCGCCCGGGACTCCGAACAAGGGACAAAACTCTGTTGATGTCCTTCTGAGTTTCGCAGTTGTATTCGTTCTGTGTTTTGTGTACGTCGAGCATGTTGTGAACGCGAAATAGAAGGTTGTTTTCGGACGCGCGGCACGGTGGAACGGGATGCAGAACATCTTTGCTGAAGATTGTTCCCGTCAGGGCAACGTTGGATTCAGGAAAGTAAACCTTTTAAGCGCGAATGCTCGGTGCCCGAGATGCCCGCGTTGCGTTCGAATGGCCGCAGGGTTTGCAGCTTCTTTGTACCTCGCTCGACGGGCAACCCCACTATTAAAAAGAAACAGACTGGTTGTTCAACGTCGAAGGTGTTCTCGCAGGTCAAATGATGCTCGCCTCAAAAAGAAATTCGTAAAACGCACTAAGCCTCGAACCCGAATCGAACGGGAAGCCTGCGGAGGAATCGAGATGCTCTGATCCATTCATTGCAGGTGCGGACCACCCGCTCTCGAGTCTTTGTAAACCGAGAAATTGAGCATGCTTACCTGCGTCTCAGTGTGTTGAGTGGGCAAACTCGGAGTTGAAGCATGGGCAAAAGCAGCTAACTTAGAGAAAAAATCCTCGGAGCCCTCTAAGGCTCGTGGGGTGCTAGACGATCTATCTGTTGCAGGTGCGGACCACCCGCTATCGAGCCATCCCAAACAGTATTCTACTCGGACATTGATTATGTCCACCTCTTCCAATTGTGTGGTGAATATGCTCTGAGCGCTGGGATCAACATAAGTATGAAGGAAGTGCGTTGTGCAGGTAGGGTTCTAGGGATTAGTGTCAAAGCCTACGCACCGTATGTAATCGGCTCGATTGGCGACAAAAAAAACCGAAAGAGAAAAAGAACCACCTAGCTAATTACGAAAGGCTCGATCCCACGTCGAACGGTTGAATGGGAGCCACGTTTAATATGCAGATCTGCCAGCTATCTAGTGCAGGCGCGGGCCACCCGCTATCGAGCCTTGTAAAGCAAGAATGTGAGCTTGATTACCTGCGTCTATAACGGGTGCGCAGAACCGCGTCAACTTGAAGTGTCTCTCAACGCTATGAAAGAAAGAATGAGTGAAGTTTGTGCGGTGTGTTGAGTGATTAACTTCGGAGTTGCAGTATTGGCAGAAAGTGGCTGAACAAAAATAAAGAAAAGACATCGCACACAAGACCTAAGGCTCGACCCCGAGTCGAACGGGAGACCTACTTGATAGTGATAAGTTCATACAGATTCGAACAATGTAGCGTAGGCGCGGGCCACTCGTCATCGAGCCTTTCCAACCAACAATTTGAGCGTGAATACCTGCCTCTTCAAATCGTGCACGCAGCCCAGGGAGAGGTCGCTGCGATGTTTGCAAAGGCACATGGCTTTTTTCTCAGTACAAGCACCTGCATGGGTCGTCAGTCCGATCGGAAGCACCGGCTTGGAGAGAACCCAACAATAAAAAACACCGCAATGCCAGCGACAAGGCTCGACCCCGGGTCGAACGGGAGACCTGCATGAGAAGGGGGTACCAATTTCCTAATCCGTTGCAGGCGCGAACCACCCGCTATCGAGCCTTGTCAATTCAGAATTTGAGTTCGAATGTCCATGAACATCTCTTCCAGTTATCGACGCTGAGTGGCCTGAGAGAAGGAGAGTGCAATTTTGTGCAGCGTTTTGTCAGCTAGCTGGGTGATGTCTCGGGTTCGCTGATGAAAAATGGTTGTTGCGAGGCAAGGGAGGTGTTACGGCTGGAAGAGCCTGGAGGTTTGAACCCACAAAACAGGAACATCTAGAACTCACAAGGCTCGACCCCGAGTCGAACGGGAGACCTGCTTGAAATGCAAAAGCATCTTGAAAACTTGATGCAGGTGCGGACCACCGCCATCGAGCCTTCCCAACCTCAATCCGAGCTCGATTATCTGCGGTCATAAATTGAGTGTGCAAACCGCGTCCAGGTTGCTTCCAGAGCTATGAAAGAACGAGTCAAATTTTGTGTAGTGTGCCAGTTGAGTGGGCTAACCCGGAGTTAAAGCATGGGCGAAGGTAGCCAAACAAAAAAAGGAAAAGGACGTACTTCAAGTTGAAGCCCCTAGTAAGGCTCGACCCCGAGTCGAACGGGATACCTGCGGGAGCGCAACCGCAGTTATGTATCTGTCGTAGGTGCGGGCCACCCGCTATCGAGCCTTCCCAGCTAGAGTTCGGAAGACTGTGTGGGAAGTCTTGGTCAACTCCCGCGTTGCGTACTGGAAAATCGGGGACGGGACGTACCGCTGAGGATTCAATGATTGTGGACCTCGGGCGGTGATCCTCTTTTGTTACTCAAAAAGACGCGTCAATTGGAAGATGTCGTGGAAAACGACGCGTCGGCGCGTTAGGTTAGACGCGACGTGATGCGACGCAATCAATCACTGATGCGATATTCAAAAGTGCTCTTGACTGTTTGTGCTTACGCTGTGAAACATAACCGGAGTCAAACCGAAGTCGTAAGCTGTTGGAAGATCGTCGCGGATGCATATGGTGTGGAAGATGCACAGCGAGTAAGCACGCTCGAGTAACAGAAAATAAACGCGACGGTGGGAAATTCGGGTGCTTGTAATTCTTGAACTTAGCGTTGCTAGGAAACGGCTGTGAGTCCATAGGATGGGCCAGGATGGGCCAGGATGGGCCAGGATGGGCCAGGATGGGCTCGGATGCGACAGGAGGAATTCACCATGGCCACAAATCGCGCCTAGGCCGGGAATTTCCGTGAGCTTGCTGTGAGCCACAAATATTTGCCAGAGCTTCAAGCAACCTGTTGATGAATATTCGAGCTCGAATACTTGCCTGGCTCTTCCAATTGTCAGGGTGCGCAGTCGCTAGCGCTGAGATCGAGACATGAATCAACCGAGTGGAGGTTTGTAGCTTATGCGGGCCAAGGAGGTGTTGCGTTGGGTTCGAGTTGTTACGGCTGACAGAGCTCAGAAAGCAAAAACACCAACAACGTAATAACCCTATGGCTCAACCCCGAGTCGAACGGGAGACCTGCTCAAGACGAATACACAATTGAAAATCCGATGCAGTTGCGGACCACCCGCTGTCAAGCCTTTTCAACACGCAATTCGAGCTCGGTTACCTGCGTCTACAAATTGGGTGTGCTACCGCCAAGTCGCTATGGAACGAGTGAAAAGAACAAGTGAACTTTTGTGGGGTGTGCTGGATGAGCAAACTGAGTTGCCGTATTGGTAGAAGGTAGCCAACCAAAAAGGAAAAAGACCTATTTGCAACCTGTAAGGCTCGACCCCGAGTTGAACGGGAAACCTGCGTGGAGAACTCGAAACAGTGCACATTCTGCAGGTGCGAGCCGCACGCCATCGAGCCCTGCTAAGCCAAATCTGTGCTTGAATCATATACGGGCCTGACCAGGGAGTTCACGTGTAGACAGCCAACGGGTTGGTAACACCGAGCTCTTTGCCGTCTGGTTTGTGATTCATAGAAGTTACGCCTGAGAGCCGGAGCGAGATCTTCAGCCGAGAATACGTATCTGAGGCCCCAGAGCGCATTAAAAAGAAAAGTGACACAGTGGCACCTAAGGCTCGACCCCGAATCGAACGGGAGACGTGCGTGAGACTCGAAAGTCATATGAAGATTTTGTATTTAGCACAGGTGCGGCCCAGCCGCCATCGGCCTTGTTGACATGGTTCTGGGCTCGAATAGCTGTCTGCCTCTTTGAATTCGCACAGAGTCGCCTTGTTGCTGTACCGCTGTCCATTTTGCTAGCAACTTGATACTGTCAGGTCACTCTGAACCGTGGGAAGTGATTAACCTTCAGGGCGAAGACGGCAGAAACAGGACCCGTCGTTTCACACAAGGCTATTCCTGAGCTTGGCTTTCCTTGCCCCTGTGAATCTGACCCATATGTAACCACACCCCAAGGAACGGCAAAAAAACAAACATCTGAGGCTCAAGGCTCGACCCCGAGTCGAAAGGGAGACCTGCTTGAAAGTCCTGGGTAATCCGCAATGATCAACCGCCATCGAGCCTTTCTGGCTAGAATTCAAACTCAAATACCCCGCCTGCCGAGCGTGAAATCTTGATCAACTCCGCGAGGGGTATATCATTATTGATGATTGAGAACCTGGGACAGCAATATTAATCGATTTTGGTTAGAAAGACGCGTCAATTGCAACGCGTCGATTAGGAACGACGCGTCGACGCGTTTTGAGACGCGACGCGCCGTGATTGATCAATCACTGATGCGATCGATGCTCAGATCTTGACAGTTTATGCTTACGCTGTGAAACAATTTCTTTTAAACTGGTCGGTTGGCTTGGTTTGAAGATCGTCGCGGACGCATATGGTAGAAGAAGATGCAGGAGTAAGCACGCTTGAGTCAAAGTCATAGAACTGAAGCGAGGAAACGAAAGGGAATAATACATTGTTCAGGGTGGTTGGGAAGCGTCGCCATTGGGAACGGCTTCCAGTTGGGAACGGGCTGGGTCTGGGACGCGATGGGGAATTCACCGCGGCCACAAATCGCGCCTCAGGGTCGGGACTCGGGAGTTTCTGTGACACACGTAACTGCCAGAGCTTCGTTGAACCATCCCCTCCCAGATAAAAGATTCCGTGGATCACTGACATTGTTCGGATTCCACTGTGAATCACCGTGACTATGAATCTCTGCGGGGCTAATAACCATGGTATGCAAGACGCAATAGCGCTGACCACAGTGAGTGTCCCAGAGATTTTAAGCGAACCACGACATCAAAGCCTATCAAAGCGCGAAGAAGCACGCTGACGTCACTCACATTACGGCTTCACAGCGCATCAAAACATCAACCAACATCCCAATGCGGCTCAGCTCGCTCTTTAAATTTTCTCCTCCGTCCCTCCCTCCAGCTTATCTTTGCTTGTCTACCCTTTGCTGGCGTCCTTGGCTAGTATTCCCAGCGTGCCTCACGACAGCATAACCGCGACTCACGGTCACGACGACCACCATGGAAAACGACGCACCGCCAATGACGCAAATTCAGACTCAAACAACATCCACCCTCGAAAAACTGCGCGCCTCCGAGCTTCATGCAGTCGAACTCGAGCACCAGCTCGCCCTCCTCCGCCTCACTTACACGCACACGCTCGAAGACCTCGCTCTCGCGCGTGCGGAGTGCGCCGCCGTGCGTGTGGAGTGTAACGAGTTGAGGAGTGAGTGTAGTGATGCGAAAAGCAGCGAGAGGAGGGTGGAGCGGGAGCGGGACGAGGTGAGGGGGAAGTATGAGGGGTTGAAGAGGCGGTTGTATGAAAGGGACAAGGCTGAGAGGGAGAGGGTGAGGGTGCAGGCGGGATGTAAACGCAAGCATGAGAATGAGGATGGGAGGGAAAGGAGGGAGGTGTGTCTTCCTCGTTCGTGTGGGTGTACACAAGCTAACTCGTGCGCGTCTAGATGGACATGGACTGCAGCAGCTCGCCGCCCACGCCGATTACCAAGGTTCGTTCCCCCATCCCTCCCTCTTCTCCCTTCTCCCTCTTCCACATGGTTCCGCATCTAACTTTAAACTATTGCGTTTCTCCTGCACAGCTCCCCGACCCAAATACCAGCAGACTCGGCGCCCCCATCGCGCGCAAGTCCTCTGCATCTTCTGCGTGCTCTTCTACAGACGAACGGGTGCGCTTCCCTGCGGCTACAAGGATTGAATGGTATGCTAAGGGATCGTTGCGTTGTAGGATTCTATATGGCCGCGCAGCCCTGCGCTGCCGGTGCCGCCTTTGCCTCTGCCTGGATCGTCGTCCGCGCCAAGCTCGAACGTGAATGGTGGGTGTGTCGAGAGGGATCCACGGAAGGTGTGTTACGTTCTTTCGCTGCCTTTGCCTACGTTTTTCGCTCCTTTCCCGCGTCACCTTGCGGGACGCATGTGCCTCCGCGTGCGCGTCTTCCTATCCACCCGTTTCTTTCACTCCCTCTTTCATTACCTCCCCCCCCTCCTCTCCCTCCTTATCCCATCTCCCATCACATCCCCCATGTCTTCTCCTTCTCCCGCTCTTTTCTCCCATACCTCCATTCTTCCTTTCGCAAAACAAACCCTAATTGACGCCCTCCCTCTTCTAGCGCATGAAATTCGACGGACACAGCCCCTCCTCGCCATCCTCCCCCGACTTGTGTTCCTCGCCCAGCTTACCCTCGTCCTCTTCAGTCATCACCAGCACGACGCCCCGTATCACCTCCGCGTCGTCGCCTCCCATCCCTCCCGCCGGCCTCGGTCTCGTGGGTCGGTCGGCGGATCGACAACGCTTCCCCCTCCCCGGTGCAGCACGGAGTGCGAGTGGGAGTACGAGCACGAGAGTCCCCAGCACGCGTCCCACCTCGAGCTTCGCGCCCCTCGACGTCGCACGTGCGAGAACGACGATAAGTACGGGACCGACGCCGCCGGCGTCGATGTTCATCCCGCCGAGGCCGCATGGGGGCGTGCGGTAGGCGTCGATGGGGTGCGATTCGTGTAGATATTTTCCCGACTGGTGGCTGCCGCTTTCTCGCTCGCAGGTAGCACCGACGTCCGCCATGCGCCCTCCTCACACGAATTACGCCCGACCTCCGCGTGTCGACGCATCAGAGTCTTCGCCCGCACCCGCCTTTCCCAATTCCTTGCACTTGCACCGCGGCGACCGCACCACCCGGTCGGGGTCTGCCCTCGCTTGGACGCCATCGGCGTATCCCGTATTCACAAGTTTCCTCTCATCCCCGCCCGCAATCGCAAACCCCCGCAGGGCACGAAACAGCTTCAATGCCGGTACCCGCTATCCCAGACCTTGCAGAAAACACGACACGCCGCCCAGTGTATATATACTGATGCCCATGCCCACGCTCGCGTCAAGACGTGCTCCCGCCTCCTTCGCCATCGGCCCTCGCAGCCCTCGCAGACG